ATATTATAAATCTTTAGTGATCTTAAATCACTATATTTGATATTATATTAAAAAAAATCATATAGTATAAAATATCTAAAAACAACTTTAAAAAATAAAATATTTAATATTATTGGATCAACAATTTATAAATAGTTAACTATTATTTTATAAAAAAATTATAAAGTATAAATCAATTTTGATAAAATAACTTGTAAAAAAAATATTAAATAATTAATTTATCTTTTTTTAGTCAATAAAAATTTATTCACTTATAATATAAAAACTTTTTTAAAATAAGTGATTCAAAAATTAGTTTTTGAAAATTTTTAGTAGCTAACTTATTAAGGTAATATTAATTATAATTTTTGTCAAGATAAATTGATTAAAAAATAGTATTCAAAATTGCTTTCCTACAACAATAACACTTTTCAATCTTTAAGTTAGAAATGAAATTACACGTGATTCATCTTAATGATTTAAGATTACTATCTTATAAAAATTTTTAATTACTATCAAATAAAATAATATAATTATTAAATACGTTTCATTATAATTCTGAAATAAATCATCCATACCAAACATTCTCTTAGTTCTCTTTATCTTCATGGCATGGGTCGAAAGATAGCTTTTTCCTTCAAAGAGTTTTATTAGTCAATGTTTAAAAAATAATTTTTCAGATTAGTTAAATATATAATTAATAATTAATGTAAGAATTTTAATATGTTGAAAAAAGCATTATCTTTATATAATAATTTTAAAGAGAATATTTAAATCACTCGATACCAAAGTTTTTCGTTGGATGCAAGAATGATAATAAGATTAATAATAGTTTGAAAAATTAAAAAAGAAAAAAGAATAATAAGGGTAATATATAGGAAGGTGAGTGGGGCCTAAAGAATGATAGCTTAGAGTTATGCTGTTATAGTGTACACTAGCAGAGCAGTGGTGTCATAAAACACTGTACCACAACCCATAACCAAGACAACACCAGAAGTGGCCGCATTGAATTTAATTCAAATGGGTAAAAGAAAAAATTATAGCCAGGAGTAATAAATTTAATTATTTATATAAAAAATTAAAAGAAGATTACATTCGAGTACAGTCTTCAGACGGTCCCGCCCATTTTGCCATATTTCAATAAATAATTAAATACAAACATGAAGAACAATTGGTTCAGGCCAAAGGTGATCCGCCTTTTAGTCTTTTCCTTTTTTTTTTTTTTTAAATCTCCAATAAACATTTTGTCGGGACATTATTGCTTCTTTTGGTTTAAATCTTTTAATCACTATTGTTGATATCATACCACATAATATTTTAATTTTTTTAAAAAATATTATATATATATCGATATAAATTATTTTAATGTATCATTTTGAATTTCTTTGTTTAATGTAAGTATATTTATAAATATGTATGAATTTATATATTATAATATTATTAATAATTTACAAAATAAATATATAATATATTCAAAAATTAAATAAATAAATTTAAAAACATAAGAAATAATATTATAAAATTTTTATAATATTTTTAAACATTTAATCTGATCATATGATATTTAAGATAGTATTTTTTTAAATAAATATTAAGATAAAAATAAAGAGATAAAAAAAATTAACTAAGGCTTTATGATTATTAAATTTTATAAAAAGAGTATAATTGTTTTTTTGAAAAAAATTAAAATATTTATAAACTTTGGTTTGAAAAATAAAATATAAAAAATCAAGTTAAAATAATTAATAAATAAATTCAACTTTTAGGGGTTATTTTATTAATTAATTTTATTTTTATTAAGTTAAAAATAGTTAAATAACAATAGACAAGTTAAAAACTACAAAATATATTTTACATTTACGTACCAATCGAAGCATGTTATTCCATCGAAATTCACCGAAACTAACGAAAACAATTGATATTATCCCATATCAAATTCGGTACAAAAATTCATCCTTAAGTATATTATATTTTAATATAACTAGAGCGTACCGATCGGTGCGGCCAATAGCAAAACGAAATTAACAACTATGCTTCTAACAACATATCTAAAAAGAAAATCTTCTAACAACTTTTTCTTAATAATAAATTACATCATTTATTATAGTGTAATTAATTAATTATAATTTAATATTACATAAAATTTATAAAAAAAATTTTGCAAAACACATATTTTAAATGATAATTCCTTATATAATTTTTTTATAATTAATTAATTATAAAATTATAATAAAAGGAATTATTCACATAAATCATACAATATTTTTAATTTTCATCAGCTCCGTCGAACACTCCATCACCATCATTTTTATATAACCTAAAGCTTGATAATTTTTCCAACGAAAAGAGAACCAATAAATTTTAAAATATACTAAGAAAAAGTCAGGTAACATTTTAAATCACCATTTTTTCACCCAATCAACTCCAACAAGCTATAAAATGACACTAAAACACATTTGGATATTTAGAGAACAAGCCTACTAGATCATTGATTCATCTAGTTTAAGCATTCAAGAGTTTCTAGATGTTATAGAGCCTTAATTCCATATTCTTTTGAAAATTTTGTATCCAAATTTTATGAGTCTTTCATTGTACCAAATTAACAAACATCTAACCTTTGAAAGGTCTTATTAGTTTGCAAAATCACTTATAAAGATTAAAAAGTTGCTATTTTAGAGCCTGGAAAGATAGAACGTGTAAACAAGGTTGTTAATATCGTACTTGATAACATTTTTTTTTAAATGGTATATATCTGTACCAATTGTTTTAGCATATTATTTTAGATTTTTCGATTTAGTACATATACATGTATAAATATACATGAACTTGTATATAATAATATTACTAATAATCTACAAAATAAATATGCAATATTTTCAAAACCAAACAAATAAGTTTAAAGGTATAACATCATCAATTTACCGATATTTTTAAATATTTAATTTAATTATTTACTATTTAAATAAGTAATTTTTTATGTAAATATTAAGATAAAATCAAAGAGATGAAAAAATTAAATCTTGACTTCATAATTTTTAAACTTTAGAAAGGGTGCACAATTGTTTTCTTGTAAGAAATTAAAATACTTGTAAACTTTAATTTGAAAAATAAAGAATAAAAAAGTTACAATGAAAAACTAAAGAAACTTAACTTTCAAGGATTATTATGTCAATTAGTTTTATTTTTATTATATTAAAAATAATCAAATAATAAAAGCTAAGTAAAAAATTATAAAATATGTTTCACATTCGCATACCGTCCGTAACAAATTAATCTATTAAAATTTACTAAAATCAATTGAAAAGAATAAAAATAACTGATAATATCTGATACGAAAATTAATCATTAAATATGTCATGTTTTGATATGATTGGAGTATACCGATTAGTATAATCGGTATTGAAATGAATTTAACAACATTGTATGTAACGCTCCAATCTCATATCATAAAAACCCACACTTAATTTGTAGTATATTTTTTGTTTTGATCCTAAAATCTTATAACTTTATCTCACAAAAAATGTTGTACAAATATATATTTAAATATCTACATATATATCATAATAGATTTTTAAAATATTTTGATATGAAATTAAAGAGCTACAAAAAGTTAAAAGTTATAAAACTAAAAATAAAATTTAAAAGTTATACCTTAACCTTAAAAGGTAGTGATTATAAAAGTTATACCTAAGGTTAGAAAAAATAACTTATAAAATTCAAAAATAATAATGGATTGGACTTTTTAATAAGAGAAAACCAAAAGAGATGATGAAGGTTTCTTAGTAAGAATCAAACCTTTCATTATGTTTGAATTCTTATTACTTGTACTCTATTTAATTTCAAATTAATTTGTTTTTAAATTTTTTATATATATTTATTTAATTGTTATTTTATCACTTACATTTATTCATTTCTCAATTTCTCATTATGAAAAAAAAATTGGAGTCAAAATCTCATCTTCCTTAGAAGATTGACCTAATTTATAGAAATTGGGCGTCTACACCAAAGTGGTTAATTTTTGCTAGGAATGAAATGAAAACCATAACTAAAACCATTTAGAGCCGCCAAAAAGAAAGAGCAAATCGGAGATTGTCACGTGCCACTTTTCGATAAGACAGTTATACCCTCAGAAGGCAATCGATGCGATTGGTCCATGCTGGCGCTTGTGTAACCTCAGCCTGAAACAGGCAGTAGGGAGTAACCATATGTCTCCCCAAATGACGCGGTCCAATCAGCCAATCCCAAGAAGCACCGGCACAAGACCACAAGCGGACGAAAGTACCCTGGTCCCCACTGGCCTTTGATCTAGCGGTCAAGATTGGTTTCCATCAACGGACGGATATGAATCAAAGTTCATTGGCCCATGAAAGCGACACGTACCATAAAACAATCTCGACCAGCCAATAAAATTTCAACACACTACTCTCTCTCCGCTTTCTCAAAAAATCTGTCTTTTCCCAAAACCCCCATCAATTCATGATAAATAATATTAATAAGAAGAAAATAATACCCAATGTTTATTAAAAAAAAAAAAAGGCAAAAGCATAATAGACAAAAGGCAAGGCAAAAATTGAACTCTTTTTTTCACTACTTTTGAATTAATTCTTTCTATATATATGCAGTTGAGATCGAGTATTTAGGACGTCTGATATCTTCAGTCTCTCTCTCTCTCTCTCTCTCTCTCTCTCTCTTTTATTAGGGAGTTTTACTTTCTATATTGTATGTTGATTTTGAGTTTGAGTTTTTGCTGTTGATGTGTCTACATTGACACTACTGTTGGATCGTTGTCCTGAGACAGAAAAAAGTGTGAAGGACACTTTGTACGTGTCACCGACGCCTGTACGTTCTGTATGATAGAGAGAGAGACATGGAAAGAGAAGTGATAATAAGACTAATGGATAACGATACAGAGATCGAGGAAGGGAGAAAGAGAAGGTTTTCTTTTTCTTCTTCTGGGAGGATTAGGGAAGGGGTTCTTTGATTTTTCTTGCTTATGATTTTTACTGGGTTTGCTTTTTTATTATATTTTTTGTTTACTTTGGTATGAATAAAAACCCTAAAATCGTTTTTGAAGTTCTCCTGGCCATTTTTTACTGAAAATGGCATGGATCGTGGATTTTAAGGTCTTACTTTTGGTACCTTTTCCTTAAATAGAGACTTTTGTATGGTTGGTTTGTTTCCTTATGTGGGAACGCTTTACCCTTTCAATCTTTACTTTTTTTCTTTCATCTTTTATCATCTTCTTGTCTTTTACTTTGTCTTCTCTCATCTCATTCTATAGGACATAGAAATTGACAGAAGAGAGTGAGCCCACAGAGGCACTTGTATAAGGCTATACTTTTACTTTTGTGTTCTCACTTTACTTTCTGTCATCTTCCAGTGCCGGAATTTGACCTAAATTTCCTTTTGGTCACTTCTCGGCCTGTTTTGTTCCATATTTTCATTTCTTGTCTCCCTTATTACATTACTTTCCCTTCTCTTTCTATCTCATATGATCTCTCCCTCCTCTCTGGGAGTAGTTGAATTTGATTGACACCAGTGAAGATAATCTATTCGAAGAGGAATATGGTGTGCCTACCGATGATCTGACTATGTCTTTTGTTTATTTCCAATAGCAATAGCTCTCAATATGATTAATTTATGGTTTTAAATCCCTTTTTAAATACAATAATAGCTTTTGATGTTATTCACAGTTGAGGTAGGCCTGATTACTGTGCGGATTTAGCGGCAAAACTATGATATCACGGGACCATTTTCATTATACATGGCCTATTAGTAGCTAGTGTGGTCCTCCCTCAACAAACCCTCTTTCTTTTCTTTTTATGGTTTGCTTCTTGTTGGTACTATCTTCTTCATTTTTTTTTTTAATTACTGCGCATGCGATCATATTCACCCAGAAATTTGTCCTGATTGAAGTTTTCTTTCACTTGAATCTAGCAGAATGATCAGGTTGCTTGTATTCTCAGGTGCAAATGGAGTTTTCTACTAGTGAGTTTAATTATAAACCTATCCTTGTAACAATTAATATATAACGTGTTGATATTTTTACTACTGTTTATGAGTGGATGTTCTCCAAGTAGTTTTTGTGTAAATTTAGTAAAAAAATAACTCATTTGCAGATTTGGATTTACTAATTTTATAGTGTATTAACATGTTCTTCTTTTCTTCAATGGTGATTTGATGATGTAGCAGCGAGTGCAGCAGGGGAGAAGAGCCATGGGGACCAGGATTTAGGGCATCTGATGAGGAGTTTCTATTAACGATTTTTTGCATCTATTTTTCTCTCTTGCTTTTGTCTGTTCCTTATACAGGTAGGCAGGTATTTGAGTTTTGTAACTCTGGATGTACGGAGGTTTATTCAGAAAAAACTCATTAAACAGGTTTTGGTATCATTTTGGAAATGCAAATCTTGTTTCATTTAAAGTACTTGCATCCGTCTGTTTTAGGAATTGACTTAGTATTAAATTAGTAATTTCTACGTCAATATTTTGGGGCCTAATATACTTACTCCATCGTATTGTGTCCAAGTCTTTTATTATTTCTTGTATCTCCAAAAAGCATTTATTTGTATGATGGATTGTATTAAGATAAAGAGTTACATGCAATCAACAATTTTTAAACTGTAAGATTTGGGTTTCTTTTGCGGAATGACTGCATTTTACTTACCCATCATAGATGTTTGTACTTTTTGTTGAGTGGAAACTAATACTAGGTTGTTCTGCGTTAGTTTGAATGATTGCTTCCTTTGTATGTTGATTTTTGAATCTAAATTTTCTGCTGAAAATTAAGCAAACTACAAAATTCCTCTTTTCTTCTGTTAGATTGTTGTATCTTAAGGTTGGGAGTCCTAGCAAAGCTACTAGTTTTCCAGTTTGCATCTCCTTCAACACCTCTGTTACTTATGTTTAGTTATATTAAGTAATTCTATTTCCAATATGGAGCATTGATGAATATTAAAATGATTAACTTATTAACTGATAATGCTATTAGTCATAAAGTGCATTTACTTTTCCTTATGGATTAAGTTAATCATTTGGTTTGAGTTGATCATTTCATGTCAAGTGATTGGTATTTGGAATAAGTGCACAATTCCCTCATCAGAAGTATTTCAGCAATTAATCTTATGATTTTAGGAGACAATTATTGTTCTTCTCTTTTAATGAATTTAATTGACTCTAGTTGGTGCTAGCTAGATTTGTTGTTCTTGATTACACCTTCAATATCATACATGCATTAAGGATGCAATGTAAATTTTTTTTTTTTTTATTTAAGAAGCATGGAATTGATGAAATTGTATTCTTTGGGACCCTTTAAATCCATAACTCATTCGAATCAATATAATATTTTAAAATTTAGTAATTTTGATCCAAGTGTTCAAAAAAAATTTTAAAGTTATGCTAGTGTAAGTAGATCCCTCCTTTATATATATAACTATATATGTATATATATATATATATATATATATATAATTGTGAAGACTTTTTTTGTAATGTTTACCTTGCATTAGGTAAAGAGAAGAAAAATTTTAAATTAATGAGATATAGCAAGTGTATATATAATGAATTAATGAAAGCAAAATGTTTTGGTCCATAAAAGATCATCTGGGCATCAGCATATGTGTTATTAGTTGTTTAACTGATTCTGTGTAAGCTAAATTAGACTGGTCTTCATTAAGAAAAAAGGAAGAAAGATTGGTTTATTTTATTTCAGTTTAGTATAGCTCTTTGAAGCTTGAATCTTTAGGTAAAAACAGTTAATTAGTATATTATAGCTGATTTGAAATGGAATAATTTCTGGATTATATGTTTCCATAGAAACATGATTGAAAATTTTAGGCTTTGCATTTCATAGTATGTTATACCAGTCATCATATCCTAATTATAACTCCTAACTAAATTGTAGGAGAGTAGAATAGTGATATGCTTACAAACTAGAATTGAGATCGGAGTTTGAATACCACGAACACTGAAGTGATTTTCCCAAGCCTCAAAGAAAGGCCAATCCTAAGTAGAGGTCTCAATTCTAATTTGAAGTTTTTTAATTAATATTAATATTATAGAATATATTGTGCTTGAATTAACTAAATACATGATTACTTGTGTCAATTAAAGGATATGTGATTACTTTTTGTAGGGTTTATTCCATTGGCAAAACCTTGTGCCATGTAATCTATCTCCTTGGTGGTCTTTTAGTAATCCCTTTGTATCTACTCAGCTGCAAATTATGAATTGATTTGCCTATTTTATTTCTTTTAGCTTTTTCACTAATCTTCAATTGCACTCAACCTTTGAAGCCTTGAATCTTTTTCCCAACTATATATGTTTGCATAACCAAACATCCAATGTTTGAAATTTTCTGATCTTTTTTTTTTTGTTTTACTTTGCTCCAATCATGATTTTATTGGCCAATGCCATGCAACATTAACAATATTTGCCTCCGTAGTGTAGCTCCTTTAGAAGAATCATCTGCCTTCAGTGGACAACTGTATATCAAAGTATATATAATTAGGTGTTGTAGGGGATATCATATACCCATTACAATTAAGGCTTTAGAGAACAACTTGCTAATCTCTTGGATTAGCCTTTCATTATATAGACAACACTAAAGAAAGAGAATCAATTACAAATTACACATTAATGCTCCCAATTAATCCCTCATAAACTTTTTGCTATGGAATATTCTCATAATATTCTAACTCACACACACACACATACACTAACACTCCTCCCCAAGTTGGAGCATTTTTATCAATCATGCTTAGCTTGTTACATATATAGTCAACTTGAACTCTTGGAAGTGATTTCATAAGAATATCGACTAGTTGTTCCCTTGTGTACACATGCTTTAATAACATTGTTCCACTCTACAACTTTTCCCTAATGAAATGACAGTTAACTTTTGTATGCTTTGTTCTTTCATGAAATACTAGATTGGAAGCAATATGAATCGCTACCTGATTATCACAGTATAACTTTGTAGAGGTCCAAATTGAAAGCCCAATTTCATCTAAGAATTGAACCATCCATAATACCTCTGTTATTGCCAAAGCCATGGCTCTATACTCTACTTCTGCACTAGACCTAATGACTCCTTACTGCTTTTTACTCTTACAAGACACCAGATTATTCCCAAAAAAGATAGCATAATCAGATATAGATTTCTTATCTATAGGAAAGCCTATCCAATCTGCATCTGTATAAGCTCGAATACCTTCATCACTAGTAGAACTATAGAGTATCCATTTTTTCAAGATTTCTTAAACAAATATTGGAGGATGCATATCACTGCTCTCTAATGAGTATTTTTGGGAATTGCTATGAGTTAACTAACTACACTCATAGAAAAAGATATATCAGGTTTCATCATGGTCAAGTAATTCAGTTTTCCCACTAGTCTATTGTGAGGTGAGGGATCATCAAGTAAGTGCCATCTTTTAGAAAAAGCTTGATACCTAGATCCATTGATGTGTCACTTGGCTTGGCATGTAATAAGCCTACATCTCTCAAAATATTCAGTACATACTTCCTTTGAGATACAAAGATTCTTTTTTTACACCTTGCCACTTCAATACCAAGAAAATATTTCAATTGACCAAGATCCTTGATCTCAAATTGGGACTTAAGATATATCTTAAGTCTGTCAATCCCTACGCTATCACTGCCAGTGATGATGATATCATCTACATATACTCCCAACAATGTGAGGCCAAAACTCTGCTGCCTATAAAATACTAAATGATTCTTTTCACTCTACTGTGGTAATGACTAGGGTTTTGTTGCTAGCTCTGATTCCATGTTAGAATTAAGGCTTTAGAGAACAACTTGCAAACCACTTGGATTAGCCTTTTATTTTATAAACAATACTAAGGAAAGAGAATCAATTACAATTTACACATGAATGCTCCCAATTAATCCTTCATAAACTTTCTCCCATAGAATATTCTCATAATATTCCAACTCACACACACACACACACACACGCATACACTAACAACATCAAATAGTGACAATATGTGCTTGCTTGAATTTCTGCTTTTGCGACGAGACCTGCTTTGAAATATTTGCTTTCATGAAACAAAATAATATATAGAGAATGCAACTATTGAGTGCCTTTTGGTTCAAAAATTCCTTATTATCCAAAATCCATGCTGAAATTCTTTGTTTGAATAGTGACATCAAGTTACCTTTTCATTTTCGGTGCTAAAAAAGGTAGTGGCAAGAAGAAGAAGAAAACTGCAATTGTGTGAGTTTTCCGCTGGTATCTACATAGTAACTGTCAGTGAAATTAAGGCTTGCTTAAGTTGTGGAAATGCAAATGTGTTCTAACTGTTGTAATTTGTTTTCAAATGCAGTGGATCGTAATTAATTTGACTGTCTACCTAGTATTTTCGTTTGCGTTGCAGGAAAAACTTTATGAAGGCAGAGACAACATTGGCAGTGCTACAAATCAAGCACAACCCTTTAGAAGGTATCAGACAGTTATGTTGGAATTTCAGTTTTAACTGTCCTGAGATTATATATATATATATATATCAAAAAATATGATTCTGCTGATTGGTTTCTATTAGATAAAAAATGCTATCGTGTCGACTATCTTCAATTCACAAGGCAGATTTGGCAGCAAAAAGGCATAAGAAATTTAATTAGATCTGTTACGTTCGGATCATAAGTGGATGTTTTGTCCAGATGCATGGGTGAAAATTTTAATTTTGTCCAAGCATTTATAGATAACATTGTTATTATTATGTGCATAAATGATGGGCTCTTTTTAATTAAAGAATGGAATCGGTACTCTCTTTAAAATTTACATATCAGATCTTTACCTTATTAAAGGAAGAGATATAGTTTAGCTAATTAAAACTTTAGTCCGCAAAATTAGGTCAATTAAACTAGAAACTATTACTTACTGCAATTCAAGTTCAATCTGACATCTGTCATGCTTAAAACATTTTAGCACTCTAATTAAGGCTTTGATTAATTTGAGACAAATGCTGATGCTGCAGGTCGTAAACGTTTGCAGTGAAAGGCAGGCAGGCAGGCAGGCAGGCATCTCATGAATTGTCAAGGGCAGCAGTAACTTGCTATTCCTTTATACTCCAGCACAAAATTAGATCAGATGAGACATATATATATATATATATATATATATCTGATTCTCATTTTGGATAATTAAGGATACTTCTGATTTTCTTTTCCAGAAAAAGAAAAGAGCTTGCCATAAATTAAAAAATGATATGATTAGACAACCTTATTAAATAATGAGAGAAATTGCATAAAAAGGTGGAAACAAATAACATCTGAAGAATTACCCGCAAAGTACACACTGGACTAGACTTGTTTGCCGGGGTTTTCAATGATCTCAAGTCTGTTTGGATTTCCACTCCTGTTGATTCAAGGTCATACAAATAAAATTCACCAGATGAGAACATCTTCACACCAGCAAATTGCTACACGTGAAACTTACTTTTCTTCATTCCTTGGGGCTTTTGTGCTTATTGTTACATCCCCACAATTTTACAGTGCAATCAGCAGATCCAGATGCAAGAAGTGAACCTTCACAGCTGAATGTCCAGCAACAGGGAAGAATGTCAAGAAACTAAAACTAGCTTTACAAGTGAATTCCAAGATACAATTTGGATATGAAGGAGAAAGGTTTTCCACCTGAAAGCAAGTGTCCACACACGAGGTGTGACCAATCAAAGGTGTAACGCAGCGTCCACTTGAAAGGTCCCACATCATGATCGTGCCATCTTCATCACCAGATGCCGTAAATCCACCGTCAGGTGACATTGCTAATAATAAAATCATACTCCTATGCCCAATGAAAATCCGAACACATTCTCCACTTTGTGCATCCCACAATCTAACTGTTTTGTCACTGGAACCAGTGGCTATATAGTTGCAGTTGGCATGCCATTGCACACACTGAGGCAAGAAGGTTGAACTATTTGCGAGTGGTTTGAAATAAGATACAAGATCAAGCAAGACCGAGTACATAACTTTCAAAAAAAAAATTAGAAAGCTCTTCAAGATGTAAACTTTAATCCGATTGGGAAAAGACTTCCTGCTAGACATCAAAATGATGCAACTTTCATTTATGGTCTTAGATATAATAGAAAGTATAGGCTACCCAGTTGATAATAACATTTAGAACAGCACATCAGAGAAAGAAGAAATAAGACTACTTACGTCAACATCAGACAAGTGCCCTGCCATTATTCTCAAAGGTTTTATTCTATCCATCGACCAAATTCTTGCCGTTCAATCATGTGAAGAGCCGGCAAAATAATGTCCCACAGGACTAAACTGCAGCAGGACATACCTTCCAAATGTATTAGAGGGAGAAAGGAAAAAAGTCTCATTCAAAAGAATAAAA